GATCTTGAGTATGCGATAGTTCGAACATGTTTCATTCTGTATCGTCTTCAGCTATCAGATGAAGTCTGTGGCTCAGTTCTGTGTCGTCTATAATGAGTAGATACCGTATTGTTTGTACTTCTCTTGATAGTTTTGTATTCTGAAGATTAGATATCACCAACACTACCAGTTTATTCCCATTCTAATGATCAATAATATATTTGATGAGGTTAAACTAAGATACATTCTTTCGCGTGTATCAGTTCAATAAATTGGTCCTTTCAGTTAAGTAGATAAAGAGGCGAAGGTTCATAACGTAGATTTTACCTGGTGATAATACAACTTATCCAAACGTACGTAGAATAGGCTGTATCATATTTCAATTTTATGTCACATTGAATAAAAAATAGTCAATGTCTCCTTAATATCAGTTTTTGCATTTAGAGACGATAAAATTAAAGTCATAAACTAAAATCTTATAATACTATTATAAATTCACATAGATTACATAATAACTAATCTTTAATGCGTATTAGTAGTGAAATATGGGAAAAGGTATTAATAATGGATAACTCAGATATCGTGTGTGTGTTTCTTTTTTTNNCCCCCCCCCCCCCCCCCCCCCATTAGTATTATAGTTTTAATTAGTGACAGTTCTTTGATCGATGGCATCTACAGTGGCCAGAACGTACAGAAGGGCTGTAAGAGATCTGTATATCTGTATATCTTGCCAAAAAATTATCACGTGATTGCCGATCACTAAAAACGCATGTACTTAGTCACGAAGGATAGTATCTTAGAAATCAAACCAAATTGCAAAGGTTAAAATTGAAGAGATGTCAAAGAAGAGTTTAATACGAATAACCAATGTAATGATTAATAATCGAGGAGTCAAGAACACTAGTTTAAAGGTGCTAAAGCTTGTTTAAGACTTCCAGTTGTTGGATTTCTAGTATTTTTATTGTTTCTTAGAAAGAAAAATAATAAAATAAATAAAGTGTTGATTCTTTTGGGCAGTTGAAAAATAGGATAACTAGAAAAGATAATTTTGAAGTGAATCCAACCTAATCTAATCCAATACAACCTAACATAATATAATATAATCCAAAATGATTAATAGAGGTCCGGATGAGTGGCTAGAGACTATTAAAAAATGTCAAGCATTGGCTGAAAATGAAATGAAGCAATTGTGTGAAATGGTGAAGGAGCTTCTTATGGAAGAAAGTAATATACAACCGGTGCAAACACCAGTTACTGTCTGTGGTGATATTCATGGTCAATTTCATGATCTTTTGGAATTATTTAGAACAGCTGGTGGATTTCCTGACGATATAAATTATATATTTTTAGGTGATTATGTTGATCGTGGTTATTACAGTTTAGAGACTTTTACTCTATTGATGTGTTTGAAAGTGAAATATCCTTCGAAGATAACGTTAGTTCGTGGTAATCATGAATCCAGACAAATTACTCAAGTCTATGGGTTTTATGAAGAATGTTTAAATAAATATGGGTCTACGACAGTATGGAAATATTGTTGTCAAGTGTTTGATTTCTTAACTTTGGCAGCAATTGTTGATGGTCGTATCTTATGTGTTCATGGTGGGTTATCTCCAGAGATTAGAATGCTAGACCAAATTCGTGTGTTGTCTCGTGCACAGGAGGTTCCTCATGAAGGTGGTTTCTCTGATTTACTTTGGAGTGATCCTGATAATGTTGAAGCTTGGCAAGTTTCCCCTCGTGGTGCTGGTTGGTTATTCGGGAGTAAAGTCGCTAGAGAGTTCAACCATGTCAATGGTTTAAACCTGATAGCAAGAGCACATCAATTGGTCATGGAAGGTTTCAAATACCATTTCCCAGAAAAAGATGTAGTCACTGTATGGTCGGCCCCTAATTACTGTTATAGATGTGGTAATGTGGCCAGTGTGATGAAAGTCGAAGATGATTTGGAACCTGTATTCAAAATTTTCTCAGCTGTACCGGAAGATTATATACAAGAAACATCCATCGCCAATAATAATCAAAGAGGTGGTTATTTCTTGTAGATCTGTACGGTTCCAATTCCAATTCCATTTCCAATTCCAGTTCCAATTCCAATTCCAAGTCCAATTTTAACTTCACATGATAATGAAAATTAATAGAGTCACATAAAATATATGAATTCTGCGCGTTGCATGCCCAACAAAACAGATAAAGAATAATTATCGGAATTAGTCGTTGCTGTTGATGAACGTTTTTTTCATCGGTCTCATCAATTCCAATAATTCACAGTTTCTACTAATTCTGAAAACTAAATATGTATTCTTACCTGTGTTGTTGGGAAAACTTTCAATATCCCACTTTCAATTATTAATTATTATAAATTAATTTAAAATAAAATAAAATAAAATAAAATAAAAAGTACCAAAAACTATGATAATAAATAAAAGGAAGATCTTTTCCAACCTGTATAATATAATATGATATAAAGTAGTCCAATTGATAATAACTATTAATATTGTTATAAATAGTTTTAAGTAATTGAATTGAATTACGTCAGAGCGCTTCTTACTCTAACTGGGTTACCCTGATTTATAAAATATTCTGATCATGTGATACCACGTGACAATGTCTTTCCCTCAAGTAAAAGGAAAGGCAACAAAAAGGAAAGGAACGAAACTTCAATATAAAAACGATAAGATGAGTGATAAGGATAAGTTAATTAAATTAATGGATGATCTATCTATGATTCAACTTTATGGTTTATATGCTAAGATTAAATCATGAAGTTACCAGATCATTAAGATGTTGTTGACTGTTTTATTGTTTAATTTTTTAACTTTTTTTTTAACTTTTGGTAATGCTTTAGTCGTTCCATTTGCATTAGAACCACCATTGACTAAGAAACCTATCGCCGGTGGTACATCATTAGCTACTTGTGATGTTAATATTAAACAGTTATTGAGTATTGAAAAAGTTAGCTTGAATCCTAATCCTCCTAAGCGTGGTGGGAAACTAAGTATCACTGCTTCTGGTACTGTTGATACTGAAATTAAAAAAGGTGCCTACATAGATGTTGAAGTGCGTTTGGGTTATATCAAGCTTTTGACTCAAACTTTTGATTTATGTGAAGTACTGTCAGAAAATGACGTCAACGGTTTGAAATGTCCAATTACTGCTGGTCAGTATAATTTGAATAAGGATGTGGATATCCCAGAAGAAGTTCCTCCTGGTAAATATACTATTTTAGCAAGAGCATACACTGTAGAAGATGAGTTCATCACTTGTATTACAGGTGATTTCTTATTCCCAGCTGCTTTTTAAAGATTAGCCGTACGTACTTAATGTACATATTTGTTCCATATCATTATATTATATTAAAGAATTGTTAATTGTATCCTACTTTTTATTTTTTTTTTTTTATGGATTAGTGTGGAACAGGTTAGGTTTCTCTATATGTGTGTGATATACCCAAGTATACCTTTTTCCCCCTGTATTCACTTGCACTAACACCTAACCTAACTTTTCATACTCTTTATGACAGTAATACATAGATTTTTAATAGCATATTAGTCTAAATTTAAGATCTTTTATAATACATATAGCTTATATTCCGTCCTTTCTTCAATTATCTTAACCAGTGCTTAAAAGGTTAGAAAACACCGAAAGATTGATTGAAATAAAAATGATGAAAACCTTATTTAAAGTTAAGAATTAATCAACTTTTGAAGGGAAGTAAGTATCAGATACTTCGAGAAAGGGTAGTTGTGGTCAACGGTGTGTATTGGTATCGTACTAGTGTTGTTTATTGTTTAAAAAGACGGTCAAACTAATAGACCAATTGAGCAACTTCTCAATTCATTTAATGAATAGATAATTAAAAAATTCCAGAAAAGTATAGATCAGTTTGCTAGTTAATAATAAGATGATATCAATCGAGGATATACAGGAAAAGGCATTGAAACCTCATCAGATGCATAGACAGTTGTCTATTCGTGAAACTGAGATGATTTCCTTGGGATTACTAGAAATGCTTTGTGATTCAGATTGTCAAGATGAAAAAACGTTAAAGTATTTAGCCAAGTTCTTAACTCCTGAACTGTATGAGGACCTGATTGATGAAAGAAATTTAAATAAGAAGTGTGGTTACCCATTATGTGATAGAGCTCCAGAGAGAATACGTGATCCATTCTCGATAGATATTAATACTAGAAAATTTTTATGGGAGAATAATCCATACGCATATTTATCAACTTATTGTAGTAAATTGCATTTTAAATGTTCCCAATTTTATCAAATGCAATTGTCAGAGGATGCTCTCTTTAGCAGAACTGGCATTCATTTGTATACTACAACTTCGGGTTCTAATCCAGGAATCCCGGATGACAGTAAATATCACGTCACTTTATTTGAAGAATTATTAAGAGAGAAAGCTTCTGAAGATGATATAAAGAAACTAATTGCAAGTATGAGAGGGTTGGATATTCAAAACAAGGCAGATGATTCAGAATTAGATGAAGAGTTGTCAAAGTGGTTAGGAGATATAACTATTGTCGAAAATCCAAATCCTAGTGAATTGGGTGACTTAGTTAGAGAAGATTAAAGTTTTATTATCTTTATATATGACTTCATGAATATGCATTATAATGATTTTATTTGTTTAAGTAACTATTTGAACAAGTATGGACATTCAAAACTAGAGTGTGATCCTTTAGTTTTTATCTTTTGAAGACTGGCTCTATCAAAGATGATTAATATGATATTATGGAAGCAAAACTTTATTGTCAAGCAAGGCTGTTCTTAAATCTCTCCGAGGAATAGTGGGTATAATAAATGGTAATCCATTTACTACTGTTTTATACCTAGATACTCTTCTTGCATACATTACTTTTGTCTTGTTTTCAAAAAAATCAATTAATCCATTATTCTTCCCATATAGAATTATCTTTTTATAGTTTTCATAGTGACATTTCCTTTCAAATTCTTTATCAACAAGTTGTTTAATAGAATATGTTATTGGTTCTATCCATTCTTTAACGTGTATATCTTTGATATGATGGTTGTTTTTTCTATTGATGTTGATATCTTCATTGTCAAGAGTTGATAGGTTATTGATTGTTTTATTTATATTTATTGTTGGTAACTTTCCTGTGTTTAATAAAGATTCCCAACTTGCTTCTAATAGAGCCCAATATGCATATTTTTCACAGGTTTTAATATTATCTATCCTTTGTTGATGCTTTTGTTTCTCTTTGGCAATTCTCAACTTCAATTTTTTGGATTGTCTATCTTTTTTGTTCAATGCACTTCTGAGGAACCAAATTGTTATCTTACCTGCTTTTGTATTCGTTAATCGAACTCTTGGAGGACCTCTTATTAATTGATTATGAAGTTTATTAAGTTTGTAAATTGAATCTTCGTGAATAGCAAATGGTAACAGAAGAGATTCTTTATAGACATTTGATATTTCCTTGGGCAAAAGATGCTTGGATTGTTTAGTCTTGATATATCGATTCAAGATATCCATCTTTTTAATAGTTTCTATAGATTGTGAATTATTTGAATGATATTCATTGATTAAATTAGTTGCCTCTTTGAGATCTTGCACATATTGATTCGGTTGTGTGGAGTTGATTTTATTACCTGATAAATTGTTAATAAGTTCTTTCAAATATGGTAAATCTCTATTTATCAGACGATCGTTGAGTTCTTCCAATTCTTTAATCTTCGAATGAGCTTTCCAACTTGACATTGTCCCCTTTTGCTGTTTCATTGTTAAATTTAACTTGGAAGTTAAAATATTCTGCAATTCTACCGAATAACAACATCGATGTATATTCCTTAGGACATCCCTATAAAGTGAAAAAATATAACTTCTGTGAGCAGGTAGGCTGCTGAAATGCGATGTCATTTGGAGCTGATTCTCATTTATTGAGCACTTGTATATAAAAAGTTAAGTGACATCTCATTTTATAAAACGATGAGTGTAATTTAATACTTTTGTTACAAGTATTACTACACCAAAGAAAAACTAATCAGAGATCAAAATTAATTTAAATATATTTATTTAGGAATATTATCAAAGCTACTTTAGTGATACGAAAATAATGTATTTCAATTTAGACTAAAATTTATAAAAATATAATATAAAATAATTGTAATGACATTAAACTTTCTAGTTAACCAAAGCGGAAGCAGTGGCAGATTCGTATTTCCAGTTTGGTGGCAAGACAGAGACAGTTCTGTAGTATCTAGCCAATCTGTGGATTCTAGATTCGATCAAAATTAATCTGAACTTAGCGTCCTTGTCCTTTCTGTTTCTTTCCAAGTGCTTTCTGACAGAGACAGCCTTCTTGATCAAGAAGTACAAATCTTCTGGAATTTCTGGAGCCAAACCGTTAGATTTCAAGATTCTCATGATCTTGTTACCAGTGATGACACGGGCTTGGGTAACACCGTGAGCATCTCTCAACAAGACACCGATTTGAGATGGAGTCAAACCCTTTCTGGCGTACTTGATAATTTGTTCAACGACAGCTTCAGAGGACAATTTGAACCAAGCTGGAGCATTTCTAGAGTATGGAATAGAAGAGGAAGACATACCCTTACCCTGTTAAAACGATATTGAAATTTCAATTCAATATTATATATTGTTAGTAAGATTGTTTCAAAAATGATACTACGTAGAAGTTACTAAAGACAATTATCATTTGATAGCATGGTTACATTTACGAGGTGAATTACAAATTTTATGCGATTATTCCATCATTCATCGTGGTCATAGGTCAGCACTAATAAAATTATTAATGACCCAATTGTCCATCTATAACGGATACAAGGTAGGTAGAATTAACCAAACCTAGTACCATACATGTACCTGACTACATCATTCTCAATTACTTGACAATTCAGTAACAGTATACAAGTTGAACAATACGTTTCAACATAAAATTGGAATCACCCAGCTAATACATCGCGAGCTCAAAAATGAGCTCTATAAATTAAATTTATGATGTACACCAGTAAATGTTTTCATTAATTACAATGAAAACCATGATCCAAACAATAACTAACTTTATATAACCAATACGATTTCATCAAAATTCAAATTGAGTAATTATAAATTCACATACGGAACTGTGCATACGACCCATTTTGACTGATTATTCGTTAGTTAGTTGACTGGTTATATTGAATCAAAATCAAAAGATAAGGAACAATAGAGGTGGAATGGAGTTAATTCAGATTGTAACGACCACCGTCTCTTATATATACATCAAGATGAGAGTAAAATTGAGATGAAAAATTACATCGTTGAATGGATGAGATGTTGAAACTTTTCCAACTTTTTTTTGCGTCGTGTCGCGTCATCGCGTGCGCGGTTTTCTCTTTTGAATTGACTTTTTTTTTCTACTTTATTGCGATTAGTTGTTTCGTTTCCAACGAAAAAGAATAGAAGTCACGTTTTTTCTCGTTTCTCACTTTTGAAAAGGAAAAAAAAACACTTGAAAAGTAATTATCAGATGTACGGATTTATGATAAAATTGCGATGTCCATGAGTAGTCACTCGAAAATCAAAACGTCATGTGACGTGTATCCAATTTCTTCAAAATGGATCAAAAGATATATATATATATTTAATAGGGCAAGAAAAGTAAGTAGACAGAAGAAGCAACTCTTTTCGTTATGAATTCAATAAAATATCAGTTAAAGTCTGTTTATTATACCAATGTCTTAAATTGGATGAGTGTTAATTATCTATACATGAAAACTGCTGCGCTGCAGCATTAATTAATTTAAATTACATTGCTTCAATAGAAAAAAGACGATATAGGGGAAATGAAGATGAGGAGAAATGTAAAGTAAGGTTAAAAGTTAAGTGAAGTATATAACTTATTTTAGAATTTCTTTTATTAAATCCTCCACATCTGATTCATCTTCTAAACCTGAAGAAACTTCGATTAATTTTGAAGGACCGCATTCATTTCTTATCATCTCTAAAGCACTTGCATACAGCATTTTCCATTCTTGTGAAACGACAGTGTTTGGTTTCCAATATAATAAAATCAAAGGGGCCTTTTTAATACCATCCTTGTCAGTCAATGGATAAGCAATCAATACATATCTTGGAGAGTTATCTGGTAGAACATCTGCATATTCACTTAAATCTTTAATATCATCCAATTCATCAGTTTCCTCTTCATCCACAACAATTTCATAAGAAGGATTTGGCAATATTTTAATGCTTAAGCCTCTAATCACTTCTGTTCTTGAAGTGGAGGTACGAAATTTTCTAATTTTATCTCTAGTACCTGTGGAAATGTGATTTAATGAAGACATTTTGGTTAGTTTTTTATCCTTATTACGTTTTTTGATTCCACGATAAATGGATGCGATTGCAAAAGCACCAGTATATATTGCAAACATAGCAGGATCAAAATCAATATATTAATACAAGAACAAAACAATATATCTATTCCAAAAGTAAAAATTCCTTCTATAACATTAGTTTGACTTCATAAGTTTCTATCACCCTTGTGCTTTTTCCCATTTGGAAAGACTGATTAATAAGTTCGATATCTGTCTCTCTCTGTCTTGAAAAAGTTTTTGCGGACTAGTAAAAAAACAGCAGGAGAGTGCCATTAACATTTGATATACATCTCAAAGATAGCACATAGCAAAACGACAATTGATACCATTGATGAATGTTTGTTATGGAAGGTACATTGGGTAGTTTCATTAGTGTAGCAATGGTCTCTAAATGGATGTTACTTGCATTCTTTCTTTCTCTGAACTAAGAGATTTGATGATGGCAAGGGTCCCTTTCTCTGATCCGTACCAGAATGATAAGATCACCGTTTGTTGCCATACAATAGAATGCAATGAATGTCTCATATACTGTCGGTAGTGACAGTGTGATTATTGCTTATATGTATATATATATACATATCTCCATTTGCCTTAAATTTAAACTAGGATTCGTAACCGTCACTAGCTTACACGTGATCTCACGTGAGATCACGTGTAAGTTGCTCTCTCCTAATAACTTGTTTTCATATATCATTCTGCACGCAGAGCACCCTTCTCTCTTTCGTTCGTGTAAAGGTACCTGTGTTTCCCAAAGTGCAAACAAAATTCGACTCGCCTTTCCTCTTCCTCCGTAACCGTAACCGTACAAGTATACCCGTATACCCGTATACCCGTTCCAGGCAATGTCACCGGACTGACTGTGCTACCCGATGTCATTAGCCAAATGATAAATGCTAACACTATACTGCCAATACTGTACTGCTATACATTGCTATTGCCATATTGCTATTGCTAGTGGTATATACTACTAAATTAGCTGATTTATAGAACTGATAAAGGCTGTTTATTCTATTTCAAATTATATAAACTAATCACATACTATTAGACTGAGACTGGATAACTCTGTCTATTGCATATCGTATCGTATCTCTTGTCGTTGCTGCCAGTGCTATTTCTTAGATATTGGTACTACTGCTCAGAGCCACGTATAGTTTTTTTCAGGTTCATAAGTGACTTATTTGGTGAAATTGTAAAAAAAAATAAGGTTAAAGGTAAAAAGGGAACTCTAACTAGTATTATTATTATTACTATTATTATTATTACTATTATTATTAGTATTTTTTTTATTGTAATTTTTACTTTTTAATTTCAGAAGTCTAAGTTTGAATTTAAGTTTAAGTTTAAGTTTAACATAGGATTTCGGTTGGGTTTAACTTCACATTAACCTTTCTGAATTGTGCCGTTGTAATATTTGATTTGTTATATTTCTAGTAGTGTGGGTCTCTACATCTCTTGCACACTTTGACACCACTGCCCTTCCATTATTATAAAAATAGTTTTAAGGGATCATGGATCAAGAACATTTAGATACAGACTACGATGTCATCGTTTTGGGTACTGGTATCACAGAATGTATATTGTCCGGTTTACTATCTGTAGATGGCCAAAAGGTACTACATATCGATAAACAGGACCATTACGGTGCTGAAGCTGCATCTGTAACCTTATCTCAACTTTATGATAAGTTCAAACAAAACCCAATTTCAAAAGAAGACAGAGAAACTAAATTCGGTAAAGATAGGGACTGGAACGTAGATTTGATCCCAAAGTTCTTAATGGCAAATGGTGAACTGACTAATATCCTAATCCATACTGACGTTACAAGATATGTCGATTTTAAACAGGTTTCAGGGTCTTATGTCTTCAAAAGTGGGAAAATTTATAAAGTCCCTGCAAATGAAATCGAAGCAATTTCTTCTCCTTTAATGGGTATCTTTGAAAAACGTAGAATGAAGAAATTTTTAGAGTGGATTAGTACATACAATGAAGATGAAAAATCTACTCATCAAGGTTTGGATCTAGATTCAAATACAATGGATGAAGTTTATTATAAATTCGGTTTGGGAAATTCAACAAAAGAATTCATAGGCCATTCAATGGCCCTTTGGACAAATGATGACTATTTACAAATGTCCGCAAGACCTACATATGAAAGAATATTATTATATTGTCAAAGTGTTGCAAAATATGGGAAATCTCCTTACTTGTATCCAATGTACGGTTTAGGCGAACTACCACAAGGTTTTGCTCGTCTATCTGCTATCTACGGTGGTACCTACATGCTAGATACTCCAATAAAAAATGTGCTTTATAATGATCAAAACAAATTCGAAGGTATAGAAACAAAATTAGGCACTTTTAAAGCACCAAAGGTAATAGCTGATCCAACTTACTTCCCAGATAAATGTAAATCTACAGGTCAGCGAGTAATCAGAGCAATCTGTATCCTAAACCACCCTGTGCCAGGCACTGGTAATAGTGATTCATTGCAAATTATAATACCACAAAGTCAGGTCAATAGATCAAATGATATATATATTGCAGTGGTCTCTGATGCTCACAACGTATGTGCAAAGGGCCATTATCTAGCAATTATATCGACTATAGTTGAAACAGATCAACCACATGTTGAATTGGAACCCGCTTTCAAATTATTGGGTCCGATCGAAGAGAAGTTTATGGGAATAGCAGAACTATTCGAATCAAAGGAAGACGGCTCAAAAGATAATATATTTTTATCAAGATCTTACGACTCTTCCTCCCATTTTGAATCAATGACTGATGATGTTAAAGATATTTACTTCCGAGTCACAGGTCATCCATTAGTTTTGAAAACTAGAGAACCTGAAGAAGAAATATAATATATTAGTTGATATACACTCATTTTAACATATATATATACATCGAGGGATATTCGTCTTCCCTCCACGTTAAGCTATAAACTGCCCACATCCTATCTTCCATGTATGTAACGATATTGGTATATATGTATGTATACAGGTAGATATTTTTATATATCTATATTTACTTATATGTGTATTTGTGTTTACTATGTAGGCTGTAATAACGAATTACTATGATGACACTGCTTAATATACCAACCAATATCCACTCTACTCAACTTAAAAGTCATCATTTTCTTTGTAGGCAACTCTTACTCTTTTCATACTCATTCGTATTACGGGCAAAGCTCCTCTTAGAGGAAACATAACTGTAAGAAAAAAAAAATGAATAAGAACAATAATTATTAGAATAAGAATGTTTAATGAAGAATAGGTTTGATGAAAGAGTATTCAGTTAAGGGGACAGTCCATTAAACAAAGTCAGGTATATACGAATTATAAGATGTTGTTCTTTTCATTCTTTAAGACTCTAGTGGATCAAGAAGTAACCGTTGAAGTATGTTAAAATAGTATATTGTTTAGAATTTTAAAAGGTTAATATTGTTCAATGAATATCAAATATCTAAGTATTAATTGGATTTGTTATTAATCTCAATATTATGTCTGGTTCATATTACTAACTTATGTTTTTAAAAATGTTATTGTTATAGTTGAAAAATGATATTGAATTGAAAGGTACTTTGAAATCAGTTGATCAATTTTTAAATTTAAAATTGGATAATATTTCATGTACAGATGAACAAAAATATCCACATTTAGGTTCTGTAAGGAATATCTTTATTAGAGGCTCTACAGTTAGATATGTATACTTACAAAAGAGTATGGTTGATACAAATCTATTACAAGATGCTGCAAGAAGGGAAGCTATGAGTGAAAAGAAATGAATATTCAAATAAAAAACAATTTGGAATATAGTAAAGAAACAATAATGGTTAATTTGCATCATAGGTAAATATTAACATAATATAAACGGGGAATTGAATTGATTTTCTATAGTTTGTGTATTAGTACAAATCTGATTTTATAACAGTAATAAAAATAGTCACGTCAAAAAGTTTTCTTTAGGATTCTTCATCTTAAATAAGGTATTAAGTGTCTTGTAATTGATTAAATGTTGAGCGATGAGGGCAGTATATTTATTTTACCGTTCGAGTTATCTTTTCATTTTCTAAGTATTATAAAATATAAGAATTGTTAAAACGTTATTACGTCAATTGTTCATTGAAAATTTGGGTTAAATTTCGAGATGTCAATTGTAAAATGTTGTTAAAATATTAATAAAGGAATGAGTTTTATATAATGATAGATAGGAATTGTTTAGAGTTCGTTTATAAAAATTGGAACTGTCATGGAAATTATCTCAATATTATGATAAATATTAGAATTTTGAGTTAACAACTCAAAGAGTACCTTTATTGATAATAAAGGTTATTGTATCTGATTAATAGTAGTTGATTAACCTCTAAATATGTTTAACTATTTTATTTGTTATAACTAATTTCATAACTGTAAAATAACGTTTTTTAATAAAAAGGCTTCAAAAAGAAAAAAACATTAATTCGAATTTTAAAATTGGATAAAAATACCAAAAACAAAACCTATATTGGTACTACCTGTTAGAAGTAGCTGATGTTTAATCCTGTATCTCTCAGAATATCTTATAACGTATGAACTGTATCAAAAAACAAAATTCCAACACTGTCACAATAGATTATCTAATAATTCCAATGAATTTGTAAATTAACAAAACTTGTCTAAAATGAGCGATCGCTTAGTAAATAGTTGTAACCTTAATTTTTATATTATCAGTCCCAATGGAACTACCAACTTACTTGACTTGAATTCTGAAATTAGAATATGAACTTTCTTCTAGCGCATTGAACTGTCAGAAATAATAAAGCGTTTTCACTCAAACTCAGGCATTTTCATTAAAAGATAAATTAAACTCAATGGATATCTATATATAAGTTTAATTATCAGAAATCTTCTGTTTGAACAACTGACGCCCAGATGTCCAAGACAAGATCTAAACGTGTAGTCCTTTAAAACGATAAATAATCAATTACCTCAATATCCAGTACCAAATGAAATATTAAAGTTTCATAATCCAGATAATCAAATATTTCTAGTTGATCAGAGAGATCTGGACAGTGTCAACTGTATGCATCACAGATCTGCAGTTTAGTTATATTTTGAATTAATGAAAATTCTTATTTCATAATTCTCTACAATATCAACGGGTTGATGTAATATTAATCTTCTGCTACATATTTCTCTTTCTCTTTATTACATCTTTCAGAGGTAAATATACGACAATTGACTGAAATGAGATGTTTAAGGTCGATTTTTTATTTTTTATTAATTAATTTAAATCTTCAAACATAGCCCTCAAAACTCCAACAATTAAAGCTTCTATGGCCAAGTTGGTAAGGCGCCACACTAGTAATGTGGAGATCATCAGTTCGACTCTGGTTGGAAGCATTTTGTTTTTAATTAACCATCATGCTTAAATGCTTGTTGTTTCTTTTTTATTTTTTTTGATTATGTATTCATACTATTAAAAAAAGACTTATGAATACAATTATTACATTATATTTCACAAATTCCTCTAATGGTTATAAATATATTATCAATATACCATCCTTCAGCTTAGTTAATTTGATATTAATTTTCAAAAGCACGTGATAAATGTTTTTTCCCTTTTTCTTGTTTTTGGTTATGTTGAGTAAAAGAAAGAATAGATGAGATTGATATTTAAAAAACAAACAAAAAATAAAATTAATAACCGGTGGGTTAGGCACTCTAAGATAAGAATTATTACATTAAGTAATTAAGAAAAACTCATTAGTAGCTTAATCATTAAATATTTGTGTTTCAAATTAGATCCTACTTATACAAAATAACTTTCATTACTTTCACTTGTACTAGGTGTAACGTTTTTTTCAAATTGGGTACTTTGAAAAGGGCTATATAGTTATTGTTCACGGGGAGTAGATAATTTATTTATTAGGAAATTATAAGATGGTTGTTTTAAATCCTAACAATTGGCACTGGGTTGATAAGAATACTTTACCATGGAGTGAAACATACTTTAATTCTAAATTACCAAATTTCAGGAAAGTTAGTGATGATAACAAGTATGAGATGAAAATTACTAAAATTACAAAGATCAGTGGTGATTCGAATGTTTCCCAAAGAAAGGGTAAACCAATTTGTTATTTTGATATAAATATGGGATTAGAAATCACTGTTATTGAATTGGCAAAGGTTGAAGCAGAAACAGAAGCAGAAGCGGAAGCAGAAGCAGAAGCGGAAGAAGAAGAGGGGAAAGATGAGGAGAATGTCACTGGGGATGTTGAAATTCCAGAATTTATGCATGATGAAGATGATTTTGAAATTCTATGTAGATGCAGTGGTAATCAAGAAATTGAAAGATTATTAAAGACAGAATTTGTTCCTGAGATCAGACAACTTTTATTATGTTATCAAAATGACTTGATTGAGGAGCATTCCAAGGATCTGCAACACGAATAAAAGGTCATCAAAAGTTAGATCATACAGGATAATTTTTATTTTTTGACAAAAAAGACACATTTCACATACATACCAGTATATACATAAAAGATAAAATCTTAGCATAGACAGAAACCAATTATAGTAGTAAGAATATGAACAAATCACACACGTTAGTAATAGTGTCTATGTATGTACAGATCTATAGAGAGTAACTAATATAACGTGATTACTATATTTTTAAACCACTGTTGATATTTTTAATTGCTGTGAGATATATCTACCAAACAAGCATAGGGAACTGAAGTGAACGTAATTGTTTATGCTTGAGTGCTAAACCCGTGAACCGCCGAACTTGTAATGAGAGATAGGTCTTAATATGCACGTATATGTATATGTATGTATATGTATATGTATCTGATGAAGTTGGCGGTTACCTCTCTCCGGCAGCATTCCGCTATAGCATTCTCTGATGATACACTTGCCATACTCACCACGTGCTACCAATGTCCAATACCACACGGTATTAATCTCTCTCTCTCTCTCTCTGCACAATGTATAAGAACAGGATGAAAGTATTCTTGTAGTTTCCTTTGGACTACACTCCGGATATAAACAACTATACCCTTTATTGATTTCAGGACAAGGACAAAAAAGTATACATGTATGTATTTATGTATGTATATGAAAATAAGGGGAAATAAGACTCAATTACCAATCTCCGTTTAATTTGTTGACGCCATACGAAAAGAGACAACGGTTTACAAAGTGTTATAGTATCCCCCGCTTTGAATGAATACACACATATATAACGCATTTGTATATGTATAAAAGAGAGACAGAACCTTATTTTTACAAGTGAAAACGACGATTTAGAGAAGCTCTATTCCAACAAAGACATCGATTACCGCTGTATTTTTGTATTGGTATTGGTTTCGATTCCTAGTTCTATTGTTTTCATTCAATACGATTCTAATATATACATGTTCTAATCACTGCAAGACTAACTAACATACTGTAGTATCGGGCTAAACATGTTTTTGAAGAACACCATTGGTAATCGAGCGATCTAGTTTTATTTTACTGATAGACATCGATGTGTTAGATTCCGCAATGGAGGTATGTGTAAGGTAATGTCCCCAATCTCTTCGTGTAAAGTGCATTTTGTTTGTCGGGGTGAAAAAGGATGGGCGGTTAATTTGTTATTTTTGGCTGATCTCTGGTTTTGCCACAGAAATTAAAATTTAAGAAAAAAAAGATAAGAGTTAAAAAAACACAAAAACAGAGAGAGATAACAAAATAGATGAAATGCACATGCTCGTTTGGTTCTCTACATTGCCCTCGTAGGCAAAGACCGAAAGTGCTATTGTCAATATTATTTTGAAAATTTCACATTCTAAATCACGCGACTATCTGATTAAAAATGAAAATAGATTGCATGTGAAAAATTAATTCTCCAAACCCGTTGGGCTGTGTCCCCGTCCCCCCCCCCCCCGGGAGGTGTTTGGGTTTACGGCGTGCATGTGCATGTGCCACCAAAATGTCTACCAAATCACAAATAAAACCAAAAACCAAAAATCGGTCGTGGAAGGCTGTAACAAATCCTCTGAGCGGGCATAAACAGAACAACAAAAATATATGAGAATACTACAGTGATATAATCAAGCCACTAGCTTATATCCAGTACTACATTACAATACAATACGAGAGGAAGAAAGAAAATGATATATTTTCGAATTTCGAGTTTTCACTTATCATCCACCATCTTCATCATTTTCAAACGGAAAAAAAAGCAACCGAATAATTTACCTTGGACAGCTCATAGAAGATAGATTTCGAATGGCAACTAGCAACTGTATGCAAACCTGTGCTATTTTTTTTTATTTCTTTTTTTTGCTTAACATTCTATTCTCTCACTGTAGAGAGTAGGAAAGAATAGGGGGATGATAGCGAGATAAGACATGACATGACAAGACGAGACAAGACAAGACAAGACAACAGGCTTTCGAGCTAACCGAAAATGCAAAAAACCTAATGTTAAGATAAAATTTTTCTTTAGAAACTATCAAAAAGTAAAAATAAATTTTTTTATTTTTGTTTTGTTATAGGACCCAAGGAATTATTGTACAAGAACTTCAAGCATAGTAAGAAAGGAAGGGTTATATTCCAACAGACAAATACACACACAGGGAAAAAGAGGCAAATAAATAAAAAAAACATTAATTACGTCTAACTCTTATTCTGATTACTGCAACTTTATTATCAATTGACGAAAAACTCACACATAATTTTGAAATAAATTAAACTAATATTCTTCCTATTATTGATTTGATACCGACTGTCAGTTAATTTCTTTATAGATTAATCAACTAATCTAATCAGTCATTGTTCTAGCTTATATCAATTCATATATATATAAGCACATTGGTAATTCTGGAATGCCACACACATTGTTATAAGTTTTAATCAGTAAACAACAAAAAATAATTTGTTTTCGAATAAGCTAATTAACAAAATAAGTGTTACTATCCCTTCTTTTATTACTCAATTCATCTCCTCTATCAACCTGCTCTCCTCCATTTTCCTATAAGTTTTACTTATACACAAAATAGCATACATATATATAATCTGATATTGGAAAATGAAGGATAAAGAAATATCTACTTCAGTTCAAGAAGTAGGTACTTCTTACAACGATTCACAGGAATTGGATAATAGCAACAACAATAGATCAAGAATCCCAATGTTTCAAGATGATCAAAATGATTATGACGATAACATCAGTTATGAAATCAAAAATACAAATACAGTCGACTCAGATTCGGTAGATATGCATCAACGCAATTTCAAAGCTGATAATACTACCGACTCAAACACTTTTGATAGATCTGGTAAAAAAAGTTTTGAAATTAATGATAGAATTGTGATAAAACCTGTAAATGATGAAGATAATACTAGCGTTATCATTAATTTTAACCAAGGGATATCTCCATTCATTATCATTTTAACTTTTGTAACTTCTATTTCAGGTTTTATGTTCGGTTATGATACTGGTTATATCTCCACCGCTTTAATCTCTATTGGTACAGATTTAGACCATAAGGAATTAACTTATGGTAATAAAGAATTTATTACTGCCGCCACTTCTTTAGGTGCTTTAATCTCAAGTATTTTTGCAGGTATATCTGCTGATATTTTTGGTAGAAAGCCATGTATCTTATTATCAAATTTAATGTTCTTAATAGGTGCAATCATTCAAGTTACTGCCCATACTTTCTGGCAAATGGTTGTCGGTAGATTCATTATGGGTTTCGGTGTCGGTATCGGTTCTTTAATCGCTCCTTTGTATATTTCAGAAATCGCTCCAAAAAATATCAGAGGTAGATTAACTGTCATCAATTCTCTTTGGTTAACTGGTGGTCAATTGATCGCTTATGGTTGTGGTGCTGGTTTAAGTCATGTTAATAATGGTTGGAGAATCTTGGTTGGTTTATCTTTAATTCCAACCGTTATCCAATTCTCCTGCTTTTTGTTCTTACCTGACACTCCAAGATTTTATGTTATGAAAGGTCAATTAGAAAAAGCTAATAAAGTTTTGCACAAATCTTATGTAGATACCCCAGATGAAGTCATCAACGAAAAAATTGCAGAATTACAAGCTTTGAATCACTCTATTCCAGGTAAGAATCAATTCGAAAAAGTTTCAAACGCTTTTATACAATTACACACTGTTCCATCAAACTTTAGAGCTTTATTGATTGCTTGTGGTCTACAAGCTATTCAACAATTCTCTGGTTGGAACTCTCTATTGTATTTCTCTGGTACTATTTTTGAAACTGTCGGTTTTAGTAATTCTTCTGCTGTTTCTATCATTGTCTCTGGTACCAATTTCATATTTACATTGATTAATTTCTTCTGTATTGATAAGGTTGGCCGTAGAAGAATTCTGTTAATTGGTTTACCAGGTATGACCGGTTCTTTAGTCGTCTGTTCTATTGCTTTCCATTTTATTGGTATCACATTTAATGGTAATGATGCTCAAGTTGTGCATACTGGTTTCTCTGCTTGGGGTATTGTTATTATTGTCTTCATTATTGTCTTCGCAGCATTCTACGCTATTGGTATCGGTACTGTCCCATGGCAACAATCTGAATTGTTCCCACAAAATGTTAGAGGTGCAGGTACTGCTTTAGCTACTGCTACTAACTGGTCTGGTAACTTGATTATCTCATCTACTTTCTTGACTATGTTACAAAATATATCCCCACCAGGTACTTTTGCCTTATTTGCATCATTTTCGGCTGTTTCAACCGTTTTAACTTATTTCTGTTACCCAGAATTAGCTGGTTTAGAATTAGAAGAGGTTCAAGCTATGTTAACAGACGGTTTCAATGTCAAGGCCTCAGAACAACTTGCAAAGAAGAGAAGACAACAAAATGAAGCCGAAAATAATGATATCAACTCTTTAAAGTTTGAGCCAACTCAAGAAATGTTCGAAGAGTAGGCGCTTTAATGACCTTCTAATTACATCAATCATCATAATCTATATTCTAATCCAAAACAGTTTTGGTTTCATTCATTAGTAAAATATTAAAAATATATAGTAACATTTTATAAAACAAATACCCATTTCATCAAAATTATAAATAATTTAATTTAATATAATAATAGTAATAATTCTAATCGAAGTATAATATCTTTAATATATTATTTTGTACTATGTATATCTATCTATATTTACATGATATGTTTTAAGGAACCGTTTATGTGATCCAAACATGGTAGATATATAAAAGAAGCATATAGAATAAATGAAAATAGGTCTTTACTCGTAAATATATCTGTCCTAAAGAGTTAACTCAGATACTGGCTTAATTCCTGAACAAACATCAAGTAGTTGTTGTTTCTTACCAAAAGGTATACGATTATCAGATTGTTCTAAACTTAATCTGACGACATTACTGTTCTTGACTAAGGCGTATTTCTTCTTTTCATTTTTAGAAATAGCTTGAAAAGCTTGCAAATTCAATGTAGGTAAGTTTTGATATCTACCTGCAATAATACTATTGACATTTTCGTTGTTATTGTTATTTAATACAATATTTTTTAATAGCTTTTCCTTTCTTAAAACCAAGGATGTGTTATTATTATAGGAACCCAAATTGCTAATATCAGTCGATATTAAATTATTGATTAATGAGCCAGATTTACCACGAGAAGTACGTGAAATACCTAGATTCAAAGGTCTATTGACTGGGAAATTATTTTCATTTAATGAAGTTATAGCACAGCTAATCATCCTATCATTTGCAGTGCTTGCAAGCTTTGGATAATATTTTAACAATGAAACAGCAGTTGGCTGTTGTGGGATATAAATATCATTTTTAATTTTTTTGACTACTTTCATCCTAATATCACCAACTTTAACATTACCTAAAGATTTTTCACCAATAGTTTTGGTGCCACCAACAACGTTTCTTCTAGTAGAAGAATCCGTTTTCTTGTTTGTAGGCTTAAAAGTCTTCATAGTTGAAAATGAATCTATTAATTGATCATCAGAAACCAATTTCTTGAAAGAAGCACTCTTTTCATTCTTCTTAGAAAATTGTTTTTGTTGAGAGATCTTTCCATCACTATGTTGCATGCCATTTCTTTTAGCTGAAGTTTGAACAGATCCTGATCTTTTGTCCTTTGGACGAAAACTAACAGTTTTACTTTTATCATCATTTCTTCTCACTGGGCGTCCTCCTCTATCGTTTCTTCTATTTGAATTCTTAGTACTCAATTCTTTTCCAGGTTTAGATGATTTAGACTTCTTCAATTGCATATTTTCTTTTGAAGTAACCTCTTGGGCCCTCAATAAAATTTGCTTCAAAAAATCATTGGTTACACCACCAGAACTATATAACCTTGTTCCTAACCTACGACCGAACATCATAAATACAAAGTAATCAATCCTTGAGGTTCTGAGACTGAATCTAAACCTTATAATATCTTCTTTTATTCAATTCTAAAGTATCGAGATATCTTATATATAAGTTGGCTATTTTTTTATTTTTCAGCTTTAAGCTTCTGATACTTAGTATTTATGTATGAGATGAAAAATTCATCAATTTAAGAGATCATGTCAGGAAGTATTCAATGGTTAGTAAGTAGTTGAATTGATGGTTTACAGTTAGATTCATGTATGAAAAGGTATTTATTTGTAAAATGAAGAATTATTCTTATATAATTATGTGTATAAACATGTACTTTTTTGGTAAAAAATTAGTTATATTTTATAATCATTCTCTTCCTCAGAAGAAAAGTTGACCTGATTTAATAGAATTAGAAGAATATTAAATTCAACTATCTGGGAATGTACTATCATTTTTTGTGGGTATTTAACTAATATTATATTCAATCCCCAGATCAGAAAGTATTTGATTGATGAACGATTGTTTGAATTGGTGCTGTAGTGACCAATTCTGAGTGAGGCTCTATATTAATCATCATGACATTAAATGACCATGGTTACTAGTATAATTAGGAGATATAGTGGGTGTGCAGAGGTGGGTGAGTAGAGAGAATGGAAATGTATTATGACGATAGAGTGAATGAGTTAGAACTGATGTTTGAATGCATAAAGGTGTAAGAACCCAACACAGCTTTCAAGTGGAACACAGATCCTAAAATGACCATAATGTGGAAGATTTGATGAGAACTACCTACTAGATCGAAGTTACCAGGGTAAAGAGTCTCTGGGATTCTGAAGCCATATAATAAGGCACCGACGACATAGAAGAAAGTTTCCCATGCGACGAATCTTAATTGAATTCTTTGAAGTACTTCTGTGAAACCAAATTTGGAGAAACCAGCACCAATTGGGATAACAGCACTCATTGAGAACAAAATGAAGAAACCTGCTCTAATAGGTCTGAAATTTTTGGAATTGAATCTTTGATCCAAGACACAAATTGTACAGATTGTTGCCAAAACCAAAGTGATGACAGTGAAAACCTTAAAATAGATGAAATGATCCATGTAGCCATAGTATAACAAAGAGATCAACGAGCAAGTAATCAGGCAAATAATGCCGATGTAATCGACTTTACTCCACATATCTGAATGTGATTCTGAATGTTGTTTCATGCAATGGAAAAGACTGCTACCGATCAAACAAGTGAAGGCACCCAGTAAATATAAATCTATGACCATATAATCTACAAAAGTAGTCGATGGAAATGATGGGATACATAGTATATCAGTGTAGAACAGTAACACTACGAAATATGATATAGCAGCAATCAAATGACTATAAATATTAATTGATTCGTTATTAAAACAACCCAAAGAACGTAAACATTTTTTAATGGAGTTAGTTTCACGAACATAACCAGTTAGAATAAATTCATTATCCTTCTGCCAATCAGGCAATTCATGGAAATGACAAAGTTTAATTTCCTCATGTTCTTCCCTTTCAACTTCGATAGTAACAGTACCATTAGCAGATTTTGAAGTACGTCTTTTACTCACACTTGAGTATTCTCTTTCTACAGTAGCAATGTGGGCCATTGTTGCAAATAATATAATCTTAAACCACCCAGAATATTAGTTTCCTGAAACCAAACGTGATCTTTCAAGTGAACTATTTGTTTTGGAAACGTAGATGTGATTGCGATTGTACTCGTTAAAGTAAAAGTAAAACTCGAAGATCAGGACTAAAACAAAAAACCCAAAGACTAACTTATATATACCAAAACAACCAAATGCAAACAAACAAAGAAACAAAGCTTCAATCTGACCCTTGCTTGCTATCATCAATACTTTATTTCGAAACTATTAAGATTTGAAAAGTTTTTCAGAGTTTTGCTTTGCTTTGCTTTATTGCTGTGGATTCCCCATTGCGATAATTTTTTCAAAACGTCAAATTCAAAGGTCATCGCGATGAAAAGTTTCAATATTGATCCTTTAACGCAACCAAGAGTGAAAGTGATAGTGATGGTGACAGTGACATTTGGTATAGTTTTAAGATTAGTTTGGATGATTGAGATATCTTACAAGAGCAAGTTCAATTCTTACAAGGAGAAATTGAGGGAGGGGTGGGGGGTTTGCTAGTTTAGTTATTGATTTTATTCTATTTTATTTCATTTGGATTGATTTGAGGTCTATAAACAGGGTTTTATAAATGGCGTTGATTTCGAAGGGATGAGAAGAGAAGGGGAAAGGGGGTGATGGGAAGGAGCAGGAAGGAGAGAGAGAGAAAAGAGAAAGAGATATGGGATACTGGATACTGGATAATGGGAAAGGGGTAAAGGATGATGAAAAAACTACCTTTTCTAGATGGGATTTAGTAATTTTAGTATATTTGTTGATGATATTTTATTACCATATCGATGATTCATATCATTACTTTCAATTTCATCTTGATTAATCATTGAAGAGTAATCGTCTTCATCACTGAATTTAGTCGATGACATCGATCGAGGTGTTCTCGTCAATGGACAGAATACAGTTGTAATTGCTGGTGATGTTGTTTTCATTCGATATCCACTAACATCACCACTACTGCTGCTAAAAGTATGGTAGTAACTGTATGACGATATTTCAGGTCCTATACCGGTGCTAGGAGTAGTGCCTGTGCCCGTACTTATCATTCCTCTTGAACAACATCTCATTCTATCAAGAAGAGTTGTCGCAGTGGCCGTATCATTTATTGATCCTTCTTCAATTGTACTTATACTGCCACCATTGCTGCTGATGCTACTCCCATATGTCTTGAAATTATTCAAGATCCCATTCTTGATTTTAGCATATATGCCAGAGAATATATGCCTGTCCTTTTTAAATAACGATCTTGTCTTATCTTTAATCTGATGTTGTTTGCGAACATGGTTGGATGTAGAGACATTACTCTTTACCGAAGAACATCCATCAAAATCCTCCTCTCCCTCCTCCTCTTCTTCTTCTTCAATCATTTTGTAATCACACTCATCTTCCATTTCGACTTCAGTGGCAGCATCTTCGTCATCTTCATCTTCATAATCATCACTTTCACTACCCATATCTGTATTAGCATATACCAAGTCATTCAATTGTAATAAATATGACAAAGTATCTGTGTCCAACGATAAATGTTTAGCCGAACTTAAAACATCACCACATCGACAAATTGCTCGAGTCCCTGAACACCACCTTCTACTCACTTGCCTGTAACTGTATTTCTTTAAATACACTTTTACATCGTCTTTCTCACACTTAGTCCTTACTGATTCACTAACTCTACCATGCAAGCCCATCATCATCATCAACATAATCATTACCTATTAAATATTGTTATTTTACTATTATTATCGCTAGTACTATCTATATCAGGGTCGTTGTAGTTATTTCAATTCTAATGATTCCATGCTATTCTCTGGATGACTAGCAATCCAACCAATATCCTTCAACTTGATCCCTTACACATCTGCTAAATACAAGAACTGGCATCTTAAATATAAGTACAATATGCATTGATGTTGTACCAACCACAAACAACGACAATTGCAACTACAAGAACAAGAACAACTAATCAATCGAACCCATCGACTGGGACACAAGTTGATCCAAGATCACATTACATCCCATTCTTATAATAGAAACTTGTAATATCAGATATCTAATACGGTTATCTTCCACGGTATTGAAGAACAATACCTCTGAAGTCTAACGTCTAAATTAAATTCGTATTTTGTATCATCATATTATCATAATAAATAACGTTCCATTATACTTATATAAGCACGTAATGGCAAAGATTCAACTGAATCTTAATCATTACCACTCTCGTTATTGTTTATCTCATTGACTATAGCAACCAACAAGGACTCAAAATCTTGATCCAAGGCTAAGTGAACTAACGTTCGATGATTAAAACAAAACTGTTCAATTAAAGTGGTATTTATACAAGAAACTATACAACTAGCGACCATTGCAATTACAACCAACAAATTACCCGAAAATTATCTATTTAATCGTTAGGGCAACGCCGATTGATGGTGTAGGAGAGTGATATACTTGTACTTTATATATTACTTTAGATAGAATTCTTGTAATGCTAGATTCACAATTTTATTTATAACTGATATTCTAATTGTCTGTTTAACAGAATTATTCATAATGCAATTGATCTATTGTTCATATTTGATAGAAACTATTCTTGATAAAATGTTATTTACTGTGCGGGAGGGAAAAAGTCGCCAAAGTTTCAGGTTATTAGATCAAATAGGCTTTCTGATCTAACACTAACTGTCTTATAATTTCATATCTCATCACATATATACCACCAATTGTCAATTCGACAATTTCATTAAGTTCCTCTATGGTAACTGTATAACACGGCTTTCCAAATTCATTACGATCTAAGGTCGAGTCGTCTTTAACTTCTTTTATATATATAAAGACAAATTTCTTCCAATCTGGTTCTTCAATCATATTAAGTGTACCCTCTGTATCATTAATTGCTTGCAATTCTGGTGGCATATGTCTTAATATTGAATTATTAAATAACTTTAACAAAATACTCAAATGTTTCTCGTGGTATACCATTTCTTCCTTAGATAATAACTCATTAATCGGTAGAAAATTCATTGAATCATCTTCAATTTGTTTCAAATACAATGAATACTTATCAATCTTATTTAATCGACATCGTATGAAACTTCTTATAACAAATTTAACTCTTTCAAGTTCTGCTTCCATACATAATAATGGTAATTTATTATTATTATTAATAACATTGTTACCACGGCCCATTCCAAACTCATCATCTTCATCATCTCCGTCACCAGTAACATTTCCAGAACCATGACTGATTTGATTCATCGATTCTTCTAAAAACCCCATCGATATGTTTTCTATATGCTCCATCTGTTCTTGTATTCTTCTTAAGATTCTTGTCATTAAATAATGTGGATATGGCATTAATTCTGGTGAACATCTTTCATTCCTCCAACATCTCATGAGTTGAGCAAAATCTTCAGCTGGGCTAATTATCTCTGATGACCTACCTATCTTGCCATTTAATTCCCCAGATATAGAATAATCCAATGAAGTATTTAATCGTGTCGTATTCCCATCACTAGTAAAATTATCTTGTGTATGATCAACTGCTGTTGTATCTCTATCTAAATCAGCTAAAATATCATCAATATCAATGTTCATCCTGTAAACTATTATCACTATAGACCTCCTATAAACTTCTATCCTAACCTGTTAAACAACAGTAACTTCAATAACAAAAGTTGAAGTATATCTCATCTCGATGCTCTGAAATATATCTTATTTTATTATCATTACAACTTTTCCCGTATTTAAAACTTTAGATGTATATTTGACAAAAAGATAAAACAACTTAAAATGAGAAATTCAGTTATAACGAGACCAAGTTAGCCATTAGATATCTAAATAAGCTGCAACATAAACTATCTATTGCATTCTATTGTTTTTATACTTTATATTTGTAATTTCTTCCATCCATTTCCCACTATTTTTGATTCTCTACTGATAATGTCATCACGTCACTGTAGAATAAAATTATAACTGACATAGTTCATACTTTACCAGCAACACTCTCTTGTTTTCATATTAAATCTATATATTTTATTTATATTCATTAAAATTTGGTTATTTAAAGATACTACCTACTACCTAGATATATTCAATTTAATTTTGTTCTGCAATCTTGTCTTCGAAAAGAACTAACTTTGCAATTCTGAAAAGATTAAAAGTGATAGTGCGTGAAACTCCTTAACACCAATAGATTTATTATATACAGAATTGAGGTGAATTACTATTGGCATCAGAGTTTGTGTATTTTATTCTAATTATATTTCGTTATAATTCATAGCAAACAATATTTTTTTCTATTTCTTAGCTTTTCGTTACTTGATCTATTATTTTAGTTTTCTAATAGCCATCATGTAATTGCCTACATTGACACGATCATGTTCAACCCAACCTTTAGTTGGAACATACATACAACCTAACGTATCCATTATTTCAAAATGACCATTGTAATTTTCTTTGAACCATTCTATAATCTCTGATGAATTTATGTACTTTTCTACATGATGGGTACCAATTGGAACGACCTTTAAAATGTATTCTCCTAAAACAATAGTAGTCAGCCATGAAATCATGTCTCTGTTAATGGTACTCAAAAATAGAACCCCATTTGGTTTTAATAATTTCCAAGCATGATCTAGAATTTCACTTGGTTTATCAACATGTTCTAACATCTCAAAACATGTAATTACTTCATAATTCTGCTTGACTTCTTCTAAAGGCTTTAGCTCGTATTTAATCTTGTGAGCAATAGCAGGATCCTGTTTGACATGTTCTTTTGCAATTTCAAGAACTTCGGGTGTTAAATCGATACCTGTAACTTGTTTAAAGTAAGGTAATCTTGCCATGGATTCAGTCAAGATACCACCACCACAACCAATATCAAGAATATGCATCTGTTTAGACAACAATTCAGAATTGATCTCATGTTCTATCTGATTTTCAACATTCCTAGACACAATTGATGGTAAAAATTTCTTATAATCAAACCCTGGAACATATACATCAGGATCACTGATCTTGATAGACTGAGCCATGATTTTCCTAATAAAATCAACTCTATTCAAATTCATTAAATGTAAGATACGTTGAGAACCTTTAATATCCCACCAAGTTGGAGCCAACTCTTTAAAATGTTTAACCTCATCCTTATCAGCACCTGTACTAATAGATTTAACCAATCTCAAATTAACACCTGTAGTCTGAGCTTTAACAACAAATTTACCGCTGCCAATTGATCCAGAAGTACCTCTCACAATATTTCTGCTCATCATTTTCAACTAATAAATCAACCGTTTAAGTCGTCTAAATTACAACAAAATTAATCCTATTAGAAAATAACCAAGTTCAAACCGTTTTAAACAATTCAACAAAAACTGTACAAATACTACTCAATATTATGAACTATTCCACAGCAGGATACGAACCACAACAATCTACAACGAATGCAATTAGCCTTTCTTGTGTTCATCAAAGTAACCTTTAAATCTATAAAGTATTCAGTTTTTTAAAATTTAAAGCCTTTAATATTTGGATATCAAAATAATAATAAAAGTACTCAATTTGATATTTTAACAATAGAATTAGTAGTATAAAAAGGACAAGAATAGAAGGCCAAAGGGTTATAGGAAGTTAACCAGGGTATGCTATAATTGGTACTCTATTGTGTATAATTGGATAAGCTAAGATGAGCAGTAGTAGTGATGAAATTAGCAGTGAAGAAGAGGTCGAGTACCTTATGTCTACTAGAGCACATCGTGCTAATGCTGGTAATAAAATGAAGAAGCTTTTGGAGCAGGAGTTGGAGGATATGAGGAGCAGAACAGATGCTATGGATGAGGATGAGCTTGATCTGTTGTTCCAGGAAGAGGATAATGATGAAGATTTTGAGTTCAATTCAGAGGAAGGAGAAAGAGAAGAAGAAGAAGAAGAGGAAGAGGAAGAGAGGGAAGAAGAAGGAAAAGATGATGAGGAACGGGAAAAAAGTGTTGAAGAAACTCTTAAAGTATCTGAAGTGTCTCCTAGTGAGCCAAAGGATGATGATTTAATGTTGACAGAGTCGGAAGAAGAGTCCGGTGTCAGTGAAGAAGATGAAGGTGAAAAAGAATTACAAAATGAAGAAAGATTACAGAATAGACAGAAGCGTAAGAAACAGAAGGCACCTGTTGTTATTAGGCGTAAAATTCCCAAGATTGATGGATCATCTCTAGAGCCAAAAAAGAAGAAGTACGAACAAACCAGGGCCGATACTTTGCTAACCACTGAGAGACGTACTTCAAAGAGATCATCTGTTGTAGCAAATAAACTTAAAGTTTATGAAAAACTATCTATAGCAGAAGAAAAACGTAAATTGATTCAAGAGAGGATAAGGAAACATAAACAGGAGCAACAGGAAAAAGAATTAACCCAAGAGGATAGAATGAGGATTGCATTAGAAACAGAAGAATTTAATTTGAAAAGTTTAAACAAATATAAAGAACAGGAAATTTCAAAGAAATTATCCAGAATGGCAGCTCAACAAAGACAAAAACAAAAATTTAAAAATGGAGAAATTATCTTACAGACTTTAACTACTTATAATTACGTGACGCCAATTATGGAGATAGAAGATAGAAATTATTGGGATGAAGAAGTGAAAAGAAGAGAGAAAAAGAAGAAAAGGAAGTACACAAGAAGAAAACTCAAACAGATTCCAGATGAGAAATCGATAGAAACAAATTCATCTGAGATAACAAAAGAGAATACAGAAAGTAGTGTGCCAGAAATAAAAGATGATTTAAATACCGATGAAAAACCACAGCCTTTTACAGATGAGAACGATATAGATTCACAAGAACAGAAAAATCAAGAGGTTATCTCTCTAGGTAAGGCTGAATCTTTGCCATCTTCTCCTAAACAAGAGGGAGAGACCATGGCTGAAACTGTTAATATCAATGTAAATGAAAGTGACAATGAAAAAAACAGTATGAACAATCAGAAAGAAACTAAGAAAGAAGACATTAATGCAACTGATGAAAGAGAGGAAAATAAGAAAGAAGACGAAAAATCTGAAGAAGATTCTTCTAATCTAAATATGCATAGTATAGAAGTCAAAAACGAAGCTATCTCAAAGTCATCTAATGATCAATTCGGTTCTTACTCCAAGGACATTAGCAATGATAGCAATAATGAAATAAATGAGCGGGTCTGTGATGAGAATACTAATATAGCGCTAACTGAGGAGAAAGAAACAGTAGTTAAAGAAGTTTCAATAAGCTCAGAGAAAATAAAAGAAGAGGAAGCAGAAGAAATTGGAACACCTACATCAATGACTAAACAAGTTTCATTTGCCGAGGAGCCTGAAATAAATATTATAGACAATGAAACAGCTGTCATACGATCAAGTTCTGTAGACAATACTGCTAATTTATCTAGTGATGACCAATCTGAAGTATTGACCGATTCAACGGACATTACTGAAGTGGAACCAATGGTTATATATGAAGGACCAGAACAATTAGTTTCAAAAAACTATGTCTCTATTTATAAATTTCCGGACTTTGCCACTGGAATTAATTTTGAAAGTGAATTATTTGGAAATCAATGGAACAATCCTGCGGTTACAAGGACGTTCGATGTAGAACCTATCTGTAGAATAAATATGCCGGAAGAAGCACACAGTAGATCAACCAAAAAAACAACGTTAATTCCAGATTTGTCTTTTTTAAGTTCGTTTCCTTGTTTTGGGGAATATGACAAGAAAATAGTACGTGATACTAACGACGAAGATAATAATAACCATGAAATCGAGATTAAAACACAACCACCAACAGGTGTGCTATTGCCAAATAGTACAAGAAAAAAATGTCTTATTACAAACAAAGAATGTCAATACTTTGATCCAAAGAATGGTGTTCCATATTCGGATGTCGATGCCTATAAGATAATACAAGAACTACAGGATCCGATTGGTATAGATGGTACTGAAGATGAACCTGATCCGCATTATTATTGGTATGGTTTTGGAGATGGTGGTATTTACCTAGATCTAAAGCAAAAACCTGCTAAAGGTGTTCCTGAAGGTTTCCAATAAATTATTAATTGTCATTAATTAAAAAACTATTTAATGTGTTTCCTGATACATCTGAACAGGTTCGAAGAATATTTAAGACATGATGTGGAATGTAGCCTTTTGTTAGAAATTCCAAGTCGAAAGTCTCTGTGTAATTTTAAATACTTAGCATAATCATTATTTATATTTTCCAAAGGTCTGTTAAGATCATTGTTATAATAACGCCAAAATGATTCATTAAAGTTAACTTCTTTAGTTTG